AGTTAGTATCCGACTATTAAGTTTCTGCACCAACAATTCGAGGACTATCTGTAACGATCTCTTGCACGTTTATATTAGACTTGTACAAAATAAAAAAAAAACATCTTATATTACATATAGAGCTAAGTGGGTCTATCTCATGGACGGGCTTAACCATACAAAATGTACTTGAATAGCCATAATGAGTGAAAGTTTTTAATAAAGATAGATTAGATTACTTTACCCAGAATTCTGAAAGACCACAGATATCAATATTGTGGCCCTGCGGACATTTTAGAGGTATGTATACCCGCCGTTACACCTTCTATGTTCCAGCACATTATATTGAGGGTTTTACACATTATTTTGTTGTCGTTGTTCCTGTTCGTTGTGGAAACGTTATTGGGGAGCCATGGACACGGCGTCCAGCCAGAAGGAAGGATCTCGGTGGGTACTATAATGGTCATCAACTACGTTCACTTGTGTCGAAGCCCTACATTTCCAGCGTCTTCCGAAGTATCGTAGAAATGTGACATTAACATTCTTTTTGTCGAGATACTTGCGCATTCAACTTTCAGGCGCAATTTTCTTGTTTATACCTTAACTTTAGTATCTCTGTGTTCTCCATTATTTCTCCGCAGTGGTAAATACGACGAAATCTTGTGTTCGTTGTTTCGAAGCCGACGACGGAGGGGTAGATTTCCTCATAGATGTGTATATATAACAAATATCTCGTCATATACAGTATAAATAACCAATATCTAGTCATATACAGTATATATAACCAATGTATCGGCATATACAGTATATATAACCAATGTCTCGTCATATACTGTATATACAACCAATGTCTCCTCATATACAGTGTATATAACCAATGTCTCGTCATATACAGTGTATACAACCAATGTCTCCTCATATACAGTGTATATAACCAATGTCTCGTCATATACAGTATATATAACCAATGTCTCGTCATATACTGTATATACAACCAATGTCTCCTCATATACAGTGTATATAACCAATGTCTCGTCATATACAGTGTATACAACCAATGTCTCCTCATATACTGTATACATAACCAATGTCTCGTCATATACAGTGTATATAACCAATGTCTCGTCATATACGGTATATATAACCAATGTCTCGTCATATACGGTACATATAACCAATATCTCGGAATATACGGTACATATAACCAATATCTCGTCATATACGGTACATATAACCAATATCTCGTCATATACGGTACATATAACCAATATCTCGGAATATACGGTACATATAACCAATATCTCGTCATATACGGTACATATAACCAATATCTCGTCATATACGGTACATATAACCAATATCTCGTCATATACGGTACATATAACCAATATCTCGTCATATACGGTACATATAACCAATATCTCGTCATATACGGTACATATAACCAATATCTCGGAATATATGGTACATATAACCAATATCTCGTCATATACGGTACATATAACCAATATCTCGTCATATACGGTACATATAACCAATATCTCGTCATATACGGTACATATAACCAATATCTCGTCATATACAGTATATATAACCAATATCTCGTCATATACGGTATATATAACCAATATCTCGTCATATACGGTACATATAACCAATATCTCGGAATATACAGTATATATAACCAGTATCTCGTCATATACAGTATATATAACCAACGTCTCGTCATATGTAGTATATATAACCAGTATCTCGTCATATACATTATATATAAGCAATGTCTCGTCATATAAAGTATATATAACCAATGTCTCGTCATATACAGTATATATAACCAATGTCTCGTCATATACAGTGTATATAACCAATATCTCGTCATATAAGTATTTATAACCAATGTCTCGTCATATTCAGTATTTATAACCAATGTCTCGTCATATACAGTATATATAACCAATGTCTTTGATATTACTTTTTTTATGTAATAATCACTTGTCTTTTATAGCTGTTGTTTTAAATTCTATTTGTATATTTATCTGTTTTTGCCAGTTGAACAATGCTGTAATACATTCTTAATCCCACTATCTTGGCTTCAGAGTGAAACGATTTTAAAAATACCAACGGTGCTTTAAAGAACCCTTAGATGATTTGAGGAAATTTAATGGCATGTAATGACACTTACTAATGTGATAATGTTTTCATTGCAATTGCATGTAAATGTACAATTTAATGTTCGATTTTGTTACTTCAGTAAATGTTTATTTATTTTGAAATGGAAAAAAATTCGTAACCTATTTCAACCCCAATCTCAATTTTATTGAGCACACTTAGTATGGGGTATTACAGAAAATTACATTTTAGCTGTCAGACAACGTATCTTTAACGAAAAGAATTGATGTCGACAGGGATCAGACTTTCACATTCTCACAAATATCGACAGAATGACATGAAAAAATGCGTTTTCCCACCGTATTTATATCGATCGTAACAAAAATCTATGAACTCGACATGGAGAGAAAGGAATGAGAAAAGTGACACATTTAAACTTATTCTGACAGGGCCCACTGTTTAACATTACCGGTAGTGCACGTATAGTTTGTTACCGATAAGAGTGTGCACTACTTCCTCATTACTCAGTCAGCTACATGCCAAACTTATCTACCATAAATCTTCACGTGCACGTTACCTAATAAATACATCACACTCACTGTTATTCAGAGACAGTGCTATTTTTTGGTTTATTTTCCCAACATTTATGTATGATACTTAGTACACAGGTAATGTATATATCAGTTACACACACACAGTCTATCGTACTTCACCACATTAGATATATTCCTTACATCTTTTTCACCATTTACATGTTTTTAACGTTGATAAGATTTAAATGTTAATTATCTGAAAACCCAGGCTTCCTCCAACTTTTCTTTTAAAAAGACACATAAATTTGTAATTAGACTAACACTGATATATATATTTGTCTACGAAAATAAACATGGAGAACACGTACATTTTAACCAGCGCTTTTATTTCTGAATCGTCATGATGCTTAACTACATAAATTGCCGGACACTGATTCTTTCCTTCCATATTTTAATATATGTATATATACATACAAGTTGGTGTACATAGATATCGATTTTCAAAATTTCAAAACGGAACAGAAGAAATAATTAGTACAACTGTTCGCTTATCAAACACATTTACAGAAAACTAGCTGACTTCCAATGCCGAGGTTTTGCAATCCCTATATACCACAAATACAATCTTATGGATAGTTGCAGGCTCAGACCTGAATACATGAAGGGTTACCAAATATTGAACTTTGAAAATCATTATAGAATAAGAATGATTTGTTTTGTAAAATTTTGTATTTTTGTTTTTTTTCACACATTTGATATTTTGCTAGCATCACCGACTAGTCCTAATCAGCTTTTGTCGTATGCATGGTGATTGTTTTTATTGAAAGGACATAATTTCTTGTGTGTTATTTCTTACTATTAAAGATAATTGGAATAATAGGACCAGCGCCCTCATGGCTGTTTATCGCCGTACCAATCAACCAATCGTTTGTTAGCTTCAGAAACTTCCCGGAAGTTACATGTGTAAACCTTCACATGTTGGTAGTGAACGTCATATATATTTATGTTTTGTAATCTTCCTTTCTCAACCTGTATAAAATGTGAAATTGCGAAGTCAGGAATACAACTGATTTCCAGACTATATTTCATGAAGTTTGAAGTTTTATGACAAATCCCCTCAAGAAGAACTAAAACCACTTACCATGGGCGCCATTAAATATACAAACTAGTGCTCGTGTTCGTATATAATGAAGTAAATATGAATATTTCGTCTTCATGAAAAAAATCAGAAAAATATGCAATGGCGAGTAACACTTTCGTTACAACCAGGTTCTAGTTACATAAACATTGAAATGATGTTCAGAGAAACGTTTATCCTAATGTGATCTAGACCTTAGTGTCACATATTGGCTGACTTTGACAATTACCAGTAATACAATTTATTATGATATTGACCACGTGTCCATATCTTTACGTCGGTCAGTACTAGCCCCGAGGTGAAAACATCCACAATTACAGATCATTTGTTCTGATTAGTTTGTGTTTAATATCCCCAAGGAGGTATTGTTATATTGTCCAAGTTTCTGACCACTGCTTGTACTTATGGGCAACAAGTTACTACTAGTTTATAGCAGTGGGCAACTATACAATGATATTAAACGTGAGTTGTTTAATCATCATTTCACTCTCTTATTCCTTAATGTACAATAACAAAACATATCTGATCATTATCAACAATTAGAATTGTTATTTAAATGATATCTAACGTCTTTAAGACAGTGATGTAATCGATCTCAGAATGATAATTATTTTGCCGTTATTGTTGTTTATTTATTTAACAAAATATGATTAATTTTATTGTTTTACATTGATTGCTGTAGCGGATGTTTAATCATCCCTGTCGACCAGTGAAGCTGTTTCATGTTTCACACAACATTTCCCCTCATCGATTCAACAGATCAATACACTAGAGAGTTTCCCTCTGGCACGACTTGCAATATGCTCACATAATCTGTCGGCCAATATTTGACATTGTGATAAAAAGAGGGAATGGACGGTACTACAGGTGTAGGACGCAGGTAAAGTTTAGTCACGTGGTCTACATATAGTAACACTGTGGAGATTAGGTCTAGGCCTGGCACTGTTATCAGTTGACTTGTGTCTACCATATGCATATTCATGACCACATACTTCTCCGGGCTCTATATCAAAGTCCGTGTAAGGCTTCCAACACCATTCAGAGCGTTGGACATGCGGAAGGATGTAACAGATTTAGACTGATACAATCCTGTGAGGGTTTATTCTTAAATGGACTAATTTATACCTACACTACAAAAAGACATTCAGGTTTCTTGATTCCGAGTAGTTCTGTATTGAAGTACCGTCTTGGTGACTTGGCTCCACTTGTAAACATTATTCTGGACCGTTTTACCTGTGAATATGTCTGACGGAACGTTCCATAGGGCGGCGAGAGATGGGTACCTGGATCCCCTCCGCCGGGCCACCAGGAAGGATCTAAACACGGCGGACGAGGACGGAATGACACCGACCATGTGGGCTGCCTCCTATGGTAATCTAGCTGCCCTCAGGATGATTGTTGGTCGAGGGTACGTATTGTCGAGAGGCTCTGTCTGAATTCAAATGTGTTTATTGTAAATTACTTTTTGGTGCCAAGAAATTATAACAAAACGTGTGTTTTACATGCATATGAATATGACGTATGGATATCAAATACATAATTTTGTAAAATTGCTGGCTTTCAGAATCGGATTATTTCTAGAACTGTGTCTAGTATCAGTAGCAAAGCAATCATGTTCCTGTTGTAGACAACGGACAGTAAGACGTCTTGGTATATACATGTAATACAGTTTCTATTACAGAGTAATACTAATAATAACAAAAAAAAAAAAAATAAAATCTTCAACACGACTCCTCAACAATGGTTGAACAGCATATTATTTTCTTTTCTTCTTTTAAAATCAATCACCTATTACAGAAGTATTTCAATACTTTGGCTGTTTTCTTTTCTCGTTTTTTGTTTTTGTTTTTTTTTTTTTTTTTTTTTTTTTTTGTTTGTTTGCTTTTTGGGGTTTTTTTTGTTTGTTTTGTTTTTGTTTTTTGTTGTTTTCTTTTTCAAAAATATTATTAGCGTTATAACTATTACTACACTCTCTTATACAAGAGTTTTCACTTTGAAGGAAAACTATTCGTTTCTATGCACCAGCGTGTGAGAAAATGACACGATGGTGAAAATAGTATTAACAGGGAGACATCTAATCACACATATTTAAGTAACTATATGGTAATAAGAATATGCATGTGTAGTTGTGATAAATCACACCAAATTTGGATTGGATATATATAAATCCTTTAGATCTTTTATTGAGATGGAAAAGTCTCCCTGGTCCTACGTATGGTTGTGTGGTTAAGGAAGTGTTTCATAGCATTAATCTTCAAATTGGATTGATGGATGAATTATTTGTTTGCTTGTTTGTTTCAAGTTTTATTGGAAAAAGAGAATTGTTCTAAATATCACATTGTCTTAACCATGCATTTCCAGAATTAGTCTAGCAGATTTGGATTAGGTCGTTTTCACCATTTGTTTCTAGGAAAACTTATTTGTATCCCTTAAGTATAAGCAGGGTAAAATAGAAACCCGTTCTTTTTAATTACTTAGAATTTAATCTATAGATTTAAGGCACATGATCTAAAATTTGATAGCCTACATCTTCTTCTTGGTAAATAAGATTACAATATTTTATCGATATTTTATTCATAGAAAAGCACATAAGTGGGTGCAGGGTTCGTTATCAGACGGGTAGGATACAGACAGTGTGATTCATAGGTACAGATAAAAGTGGGCAAGGCCAGTGTACATCAAACGTTGCTAAATTAATCACGGACGTGGGACAACATACATTTATTTAACTAATGTAAGGTTACCATAGCTATTGATGTATCTTCTTCCTTAGGTATAAACCTGAGGTCTATATTGACACTCGGTAATTATTTAACGTGCAATCAAAGTGTCACTGACTTCTAAAATTACATTAAAACTTTAAATAACTAAAAATTGTTATACGACGCTGTCATACAATGGCAGAAACTGATTTGCTATATCTTATTACATTAATTTCAAGACAGTAAAACAGCCAATACATTTATGTTTATGTTGTAATGGCCCTTTGTTCTATCTTGAAACATTTTCTGACATTATCAGTAATTGCTCATTCCGTATTTTTATAATATAAGTCATTATATTTGTCTCACTGTAATTAAATGTATAACTGCTAATTCCGTATGAATTTGTTATTTCGATAGTAACTGATATCTTTTATTTAAGAGACAAGTTTGACAAACCCTTTCCTGGTAGCCATTTCCTGATTATTGATTTGGGGTAACAGGAAGTATGTAAATATGCCTATGTTTTATTAATTTTTGCAATCACAAAATAAAATATATTCGAATCAATTAAACACGTATACTTTCCAGTTATTTTGCTTTGAAACGGAAACAGATAAATGCCGTTCATATGGAACTCACAAAAATTGATGGCAATGGATATCAAGCCGAAATAGTTTTTGATATAATTCCAAAACGGTTTACTACACATGATAATATTCATGATACACTTAACTAAAACAGCTGTTTGTGGTCGATTTAATATATATATGCTTTAGTATTATTCATGTATCAAATACCAAATTTTTGTTTAAAAGTCCATCTTGACATTGTCATTCGTCAGTTTTTCGGTAATTACACATTTTATCCTAGTTTATGTTTAATAGTATCTTTCTGCTATGAAAATATCAACTTTTCAAACCTGTATGACTAGACAGAGAGACTGACACACCAATGATTGGTAATTACTGGGGTCATGCAATACAAATAATAGCGTGATAGATTTCCGTCTACACGGCCAATGCCATGTAACAATACCAGTTATTTTGATTCTGAACTCTGAACAGTAAATAACACCTATATTTCCTTAGTAATACTTTAAAGATTATTCATTAAAAACTTGTTTCTTAACAATTGAAGTTATGACAGCTGTTATTAATTAGTCGAATGATAACGCACAGTGTAGTATTGTCTTCAGTACCTGTTGTTGACATTCTAAATATAGATCTGCAGGGCAGATGGGTGGGAGAGGTGGAAAAAGCGCTGAAATCTTCGGCATGGTATGAATAATAAATACGACTACATCATTTGATAACAGAGTATTGTGGTGCCCTGGGATGTAAACACGAAACTATGGCGGATCGTTAGTAATATGGGGTGTTATACCAGACGTGTATTGCGTCTATAACGATAAAACTAGCCGTCGAATTCATAAAGATGTGGATTAATGGGCAAAATTCCACTTTAACTTTCAACAAGGTAACAGGGTGATCCTGTAACACTCGTATGTGAAGATGTAGCATGATTGCTTTCAATCAATAAAGCACAACTTGATGTTTAAGTAATGATCTTAGTTCTGTACTGTGCATTGAAAGAAAGACTAGTAGATTCAACGTCCCTCGAACAAATGTACGTTAAGCTACCGTGTAACAATCAACAGCACTATTACTTTATTACAACCATTGAAAATACGATAGGTACATGTACTAAAGTAACTGTGGCAATGAAATTGTACATTTTCTTTTTCTAATTTTCATGAAGAAAGTAACAAAAACGGTTATTATTTGATACCTAGCAACACCAGTCTGTATTTATCTGTATAATATGAGGTTTTAGTCAAGACGCAAATATAGTTAACACTGTTAGATAGACATATGGCATTTTGCCATGTACTTAAATAGCTGTTTTATCTTATTTTGAAATGTCCCAAACTCTGAAGCTTTGCGCAATATTTAAGCAAAAGATAAAGTAACATACTACAGCCAAGACATATTCAAGTGTTTATAACGATTCTTTGACGTTGATTTCTAATGATGTTAACATTTTAAGTCGAAACAAACAGGTAGATATAGGTGATTGTAATCCATAAAACACACACATGCTGGTGTCCGATTCATCATGTCTCTTACAAATTCCAAGATATGTTTTAGAGCAGAGTGTACCATGCGATAAATACGGTAACAGGTTGTGTATTCAGACTGTTTACTAAAGATAAGATTTTTACCATGTTATTTGCAAATCAATATTCATGTGAACGATTTATGGCAGAGCACATGCTCCCTATGTGTTGAGGTACAACTTACAGGGGTATTGTAGGGTTGATAAAAGGAAATACATTGTAATAGCGATACATGTCTGATATAAATTTATAACTGTGTTATTGTCACATTGTCGAAGTGTATTTGATTGGCTATAAACGTTTTTCTTGCCATGGAAACTCCAAACGAATCCTCATTTGTTTCGTTATTTCGTTATACTAAAAGTGGATAAAGTAAATGCTCATTGGTCTTTTTAAAAACCAGATATCAAAACTACACCTTCACAATGATAAATTAATATCTTGATATGCAAATCCTACAGAAACATAAAGAATAAAAATATTATTGAAAAATCCTTAAGAAGAAATCCGTTACATTTCTAATATTTCAAAAGCTATTCGAGTCTGTAATATTTGACAGATATACCAATTCACATTTCAACAGACTTTTTTTTCGTTTAAAATTAGAAACCATTAAATAAATATATGATTTATATCAATCTAATTGTTTAACTTTAAAATATCAAACAGATAGTATGTAGAATAATTTTCCGTTTCTTTTGATTTACATCTTCCTAATTCAGTGGAACTTTAATGCTACTTTAAATCTGTTCCGTGAAATCGTGATTTGAAAAGTTATTTATTCATGTTCATTGTAAATGCCAATTGCAGATGATGAATGCGTGAAATCCTGTTTCTTGGTATGCTCCCTTTTCAGGTTATATCGATGATAACCGCCACAAGAAAGGCAGATAAGTGATTTATTACTTTTTCAGAAATAGTTTGTTCAAACATAAGCATGAGTAAGATTTTTACGATTCAATCAATACAATTTCCTTGCTCAAAACTGAAAGAAAAGAAAAACTCAATGACATTTGATAAAATTATTGTAATCTTTTGATTATGCCCGATACATGATTTCATTACCCTTGGAAAATATAAACTGTGCATGTGAGTAACACTGATAGGTTGGGGCTTGTATCAATCCAGTATCAGGTACAATTTAGTAAAGGAATGTCTATCTATAAATAACACACCTATCTTAGTTGTCCTCGAATTAGTATCATGTGAGTCATCTACTATCTACTTCCGTTCAGATTACAGTACCTAATTATCGGTATTCATTGATAGGTCTATACGTCCTCCATTCACAAGAAAATTGCGCGTGGTAAATGTTATATTGCAAATACTACCTTTTATAACTGATACAGTACGTAAAATTGTCAAAGCAAATAAATAAGTTTTTCCTCAGATTGCGTCTTCTTTCTGTGTTCACAGCTGCGTGAAATTTGTTTAAACTATGAATATATCATACCAATGTCAGAGCTGGTTCGTCAGGTCTAAAACAAGAATGATGTCTGATAGCATAAATCTATGAACAACGATGTCAATTAACGTGAATATATCATAACACTATCAATAAAGTAATGTTATCATGAGGAACGATGT